AGTTACAAAATTGAGGTCAACAAAATAAAAAGGACATATTACTTCATGCCCCGCTAATTGCAACTACCATTGTCGAAGAGGTCACTTGTTAATTACTGTAGAAACTCAGCGAGAAACCAGACAAATGTGATAGAACAAAACCCTACAACCTCCTATCAACAGTCCCAACGAGACAACCCTCAGGATAACAAGGGAATTTGAAGTAAGCCTTCACCATTTCCCAGTTTTAACTGTAGATAGCGATAGTGAAGTAAAGGAATACGTCGAAAAAGCAATAGAATAGTTTTAACGCCCGACATTTTGAGAAAAAAAACTGAGTGTAAATGATGAAATTTTTCAGCCAGTCACAACGGTAATCAAGAATATTTCAGCAAGCCCAGTAATTTTCGTGAAACAAATTATTTTCATCAACTAAAAAACAGAGACCGACTATTGAGGAACAAAGCGGCAGACAACTTTACAAAAAACATACCAATGATTTGGTAGCACAAGTAGTATCATATTGGAAAATTGAACTAAGACGCCAATGAAACAGATGGGATGAGAGAAACCAGATAACATTTAAAATCAAAATGGCAGAAATTTAAAGTTAGAAAAAAATCATCATTTGTATCTGTGAATTTTGTCTCACAACAACAAGCAACACCCGTAACGATATCACCCTGGTCATTTCCAACGAAAAACGCCGTCGTGGGAAAACAGCAAAAAATCAGGTTTCAGTCGGACATCTGTGAACTTGCGTCACACCAGACAACAAAGCATTTTGAGTTTAACCAATCTCCGTATTGAGTTTAATCTAATCAATATCTAACCATTTTCGCAAGAAACTATAAAAATAAACATTTCAACTGGCAAGAGTTACATCAAACCACTTGTAAAAAAAACAAAAGAAAAACTTGTAATACCGTGACTGTTATGCTGAAAACCATAGTAGAATGCAACATATCTCATGAAGAAAGTTGGAAGACTAGCTTGCGCTACCTCGTTTTTAAATCTGGATGATTTACTCAGATTAGTCTGGGCACAATCTCGTTTAGCCTGTTGGACGGCGAACTTTCTACCTTGATCTTTTACAACTCAGCAAACTCCAGGTATGGATATGGCAATCGTTTAGTGTTTATCAAGACACACCACGGGTGAACTCGTATCAGTTTCATTTGACAACTAAAAAACTGTTTTTGCATCGGAAAACCAAATTAGTACATTGCTCGATTTCGAAAATTAGTCAAGTCAAATACCAAATTATTGCCAAATGCCAAATTGCTCACGCGCTAAATTACGCTGAAAAGTTTTTCCAAACTTAGACTTGAAAAAATCAATTTGCTGCAAATGTACGAAACAAAAGATACCAAATAAACAGCGAAAGAATTGAAATTTGAGAAAAAATCAAAGATGCGGCCAAAATTTTGCAAAAATTACAGTTACGCTCGTAAATTTAAGCGTGTCAAAGCTCTTACTCGCGAACAGATGAAATTTTTGCTCCGTGTAAAACAGATGACTTTTCTATTAACTTTGACAAGCTTATAGTTACGTCTTGCTAAGTCGAGCCGATTCAATCAAACATTTTCCCTGCGAATACTTCTCCCACTAAAAATACCTCCGGATATTGAAACCTGAGAAATGATCATGGATCAGTCAATTTTAGTAGAAAAAAGTAACCTTAAGCCCACAATGCAAAGCGAACATAAACCATATCATTTCCTTTTTTGACCGGAATTAATCGACACAAAGTTTATGTTCCTTTTAAACGCGCAAGAACTGGTATTAACAATGATAGCAAGAGCCTTAGCCGAAGGAAGAAGAGAAGATTCATTAGCAGATTGAAAAATAGCAGAACTATTACTGACACAGTTGACAGGCATCCGCAGAATGCATTTACTTTGATGGAAGATTGGTAAAACCCGCCTGGTTGAGACTTTTAGGAATCCTGTACAAAACCCACCCTGATCAATTTGCGGGCGACTCAATACCTTCTGCAAAAATAATCGAATATAGTTCTAAAAACAAAATGGATTATAATCAATTATAATGGATTATAATGGATTTTCATTTCAAAATAATCGATTATAACGGATTATCTTGGCAAAAATAATCGATTTCAGTGACAAAAATAATGGATTATAATCGATTATAATGGATTATAATGGATTATATTTGTTCAAAAATAATCAATTATAATGGCTATATAATCAATTTCGTGGTCCGAATTTTACATCCGTAATGTATTATAATCGATTAGAATCCATGGGCGCTCGGTGCGGGTGGCTAACAAGGGCGAACATAAAGCTGAAATCATTTATTTTAGATGTACAAACGTATAGTATAAACAAGACAGCTCGTATCAGGGCAAAGCCCTGAATGTTCCGACTGCCTTTTAAGGTTTTATGGAGCAATAATAACATTAAAAAATTAAATGTAAGAAAAAATAAAATCAATTTTTTTTTTCTAAAAATTGAAATATTTCATGAAAATCATCCCCCCACACGCCATATAAAGTTTAAAACGATAGATTTCGCTTCTTGTAACAAATCAATTATGGAAAATAAGCTTCTTTCAACCAACTTGGAACGATTTGAAGACGGATTAACTCTCCGCTTACGCGTTAATAGCGCGAAATATATCGCGCGTTAAATTTCCCAAATTGGCCAAAATGGCAATCTTTAAACCCCCATAACTTTATGAAAAATGATCACAGGTGAAATATCTTTTCAAATTTGAGCTCTTGAATGATATGAAATTCCGTCAAAAAAAGCTAGTTAAAAAGTCTGAAGAAAAAAAACCCACCCCGAGCACAAATATTCCGTTACTTTCGTATCGAAAGTCGGAACAAAAACTATTGGACCGAGAGCGGAGACTATAATTTGATATGCCCCATCTGACTCAACCTCGAAGCATCGGCGATAGAAATCACTAAACCGCCAGTGAACTTGCTAGAGCTAATTACACACAGTGTCTTCCCTGCTGTTTTGTTCCACGCTAAAAACTCCGTAAACATCAAAATCCGACCAAAAATTATATCTGGAAAGTTGAAATAATTCAATACAGAGTCACCACCAGAAAACTTTATTTGGAGGCATGTTGAAATAATTCAATACAGAGTCACCACCAGAAAACTCAAGAGTAGCAAAAGTTTGATTCGTCAATCCTAGGAAAAAAATTTGATCCCACTGGCAGTCACAGATCCCGAGACGAAGCAAATCCATCATCGACTTGTATGTACACATCACGAATTATAGATGCACGGGAACTATTAAGAAGATCTACGACTTTCGACGAGCTAAGAAAAGGGGCAACAAACAAGGTAACTCGTCGAGACTCGACTTAAACTTTGAAACTTTTTCGCACTAAAACTTAACGCTGACGATTAAAGCATCAACTTTAAATTGATTTAAACTTTGACCATCATAGCACCGTTTACGTTCAATTTTTTGTACAACCATCCGAGGGACCGCTACAATCAAACCCCCGCCTAAACCCTCGAATTAAAAACATTATTAAAAAATAAAAGTTCATAAGTCGAAAACTCATAGTGTTCATGTTTAACAGCGTAGAACCATTTGGGTTATTTACTAATTTTTAAATTAGATATTTGTTGCTTTTTTCCGACTATTAGTTCCGTCCCGTTCCTTCGGTGAAAAAAATATACTTGTATCTCTTGAACCATCGTTACAATTCACGAGAAATTGTCAAGGAGAAGGCCAAGTAGCGTCATTTTAACCTGGAACTCGCCAGTCATTGTTCTATATTTTCAAAATAATCTAACTAATTCAACATTTAGTCAAAAAGTTTTAACTATTCTTAATGAGCTTAGAAGTCTAACCTTTCAAACGGTAATACTTTAAACTAGTATTAATTTAAAACCCAACCTTAATTCTTCGTAGTATCGTTGTTTAGTGATCTATGTTAATCTTTTTTTAACACCCCTTCACCTGGTGAAGGTTTTTTTTTAAGGAAAGAACATCCCTATTGGCGTGGTTTGCAGTCACACCCACATCATCAGCTGAGATATCCTCCTCCCCCTCGGCCAACTCTGGGGGGTCCAAATCGGCCAGACTTCGGATCTTGCGCCCAATTTGGTTCACTTGAGATGTCACACGGTTTTTGAAGGAGCCATTAGAGGATAGAGGCTGCTGCATTTTGGACTCTTTGTTGGACTGGCTCGTTTCGCGGAAGAAGTTGAAGAGGTGATCGTTGTCGAAGGCAATCTAAGTAAGGGAGGAATAACTTCAAAACATCTGCTGTTGCTGTATTTTAACATTGAGAGATAAGCTTGAGAATGGTAAAAGTTTCAGTGCCAATCTTTCATTAGGTGATTTACTGATTTGATACATGAAAATAAGGGAGAACAGCGTGCTTCAGACTGCTAAAAGGTAATCATATAGTGCAAAATGTCACCAAAAGCATCCTGTAAGAAAAAAAGAGGTAAAAATAGTTACATTTTGATTGCAAAAATTACAAATCACAAACATTTAAACGACTTACAGGGTCTGAGATTAAAGCCGACAAGTATGATTCCACCAGCAATCTGGCTTCGAAGAAGTATTCCACGTCATAGGACCTGAACCGTCTCATTTTCGGCATCTCGAACCGTTTCGTCCAGGCGAGCACAGGCATCAACACGCTATACAGTTCCAGTATTTTGGCGAGAGAGCGAGATATAAGGAGTCCGTTGTTGTTGCGCTTAGGTGTCTCAATATCGCCGTGGTGAAGATACAGTTCGATTGAAAATATGGGCTCGTTAGAGTTCTTATCCGCACACTGTATTTAACAGAAGCATTAACTCAAGCAAACATACAGATTAGCTTTTCTTTTGATATATTTTTTTCAGTAAGCGTTTGAACTGAACCGTACAAAAAAATAGGCTTTGCCTAGTAATGAAAAAAAGGGTTGTTTTGAGGTCTTTGCCTGGTATTTTGCTAAAATCATAGTTAAGGATTTTTATCAAGCAAGTTTATAAAAAAACTACTGAAGGTGTGCCAAAAAATCGGGTAAGAATTCGATTAGTCGTTGGTGGCAGCTAAACCCAAATAAACTTATCAACAACAAAAAAAAACATTAATAAAAAGCAAAATTTTTAATTTTAATTTCGTAAACTGGTTTCGGTTGCTTGAGTTTCGGCCCTGTTGGCATTCAACCACTGAGACGGCATATTGGCCCTTGTGACTGAACCATGCACTCAAGTCTTCAATCAGCGACTCCAGCTCTTCCGCCTGTCTGGCTAGATTGACCACTTCGCTTTGCAGTTCCTGCATGAGTTTCAAGTCGAACTTGATGGCCGACTGCTGCATTTGTTGGATCACGTTGTTCTTCCGCATGATTTTGTCCCGCAGCTCCTGAAAGTTTTTTGAACGTTTGAAAGCGTTGATAAAATTTTCTGTCAAGGAACTTTTTCTAAAAGAGTTCTTCGAATTCCTTCAACTACCTTCATTTTGCTGAAAGAAAAATTGTACGATAGGAGAATTTATCTACAAAAATCAATGAAGTTTTGGGCAAACAATTTTAATTTTAAGACTTCTAATCATTTTTTTCCCTTCTAAGCTGATAAAATACAGTTCCCATATAAAATGTTGGAAAAAACTGGGGAAACAATTTTTGAATTTTGTGAATTTTTAAAATATGCTATAAAACCAGCGGGAAAAAAATTGGGATGCTGCATCTGTTTTTTTTTATATCGAAACAAAAATTTCCATTTTTTTGAAAACACCACACCCCTCCCTCGCCCTTTCGAGACAATCTTTGATCCACCCTGCTTATTAGTCAAAATGGGAAACTGACGTTTAATTTTGTCGTTTCAGAGACGGCGACGTTTTTTGAGTCCACAAAACTCATCGTTCTCGATCTAGACCTCACAATTTCATGGGATTCCAATTCCAGTGTCTTCTGTTTCTTCTCTTCCTGAATCGCCCGCCACTTTTTGTATCCAGAAGTCACCAGAAATCCAGGAAGAAAATGCCTCTCCATCTGTTTTGCCACAAAGTTTTGAGCTTCGAAAAAAGCTCGAATCGTAGAATTTCCGAGAACGTACTGATGCATGTTTTCGGCTATCTGAGTTGGTAGTTTAAAGTTCGGATCGGTGCAATAATGAATGAAATCATGGTATATTTTATCGGCCATCCTGTATTGCGCAACCGAGTGTTCTTTCCGCATAATTTCAACTTGTTTCCAAAATTTACTCCAATTTGATTGGTTAAATTCGTTCTCGAGATAACCTTGAAACAGTTGGAAACCTTCTTCGCATTTCAAGATTTCGTTGATTGATGCAGGTAAAACATGAGTTTGTGAATTCGCTATGGCTAGTTGACGCATCTTGCTTTTCTTGGAGAAATTAGTCGGTATAATCCCCGGATCGCAAGAGTTTCCCAACGAACCTAATCAAACCTCGGATCTGGTAACTTAATTTATCACAGCTCGTGTTTTGTTTTGTACGTTTTTCGCAATCATACGCGTGAAAAAAAAGATGAGTAATGAAAACCTTTCATTTCAGGGGCGGATCTAGGATTTTCTCGACGGGGGGATTTTCAAAAAAAACAGGCCTTTTTTTTGAAAACAGGCCAAAAATGCGTTTTTAGACTCTTTTTGGAAAATTTTGACCAAAAATCGTGCGCTCCCCCTCAAAAATAATATGTACGCCCACTCCCATCAAAAAATTTCTGGAAATAAATTTTTACTTGGTCCTGTAGTGTACATGGAGCACAAAACTTTTAAATTTTTGACTATTAGAGAAAACTCTATTTAGTTGCAATAAAACTCTTTTTAGTTAAAAGAAAACTCTTTTTTTGAAAGAAAACTCTCCTGTAGTGTGCATGGAACGAAACTAGTTTTCGGAAAAGAAACTAGTTTTAACATTTTTTGTTTCCAACTTTTAGTCCTGTCATACGTTTAGACATACAAAATAAAAGTTAACATCGGAGCCTAGTCTGAAAACTGACCTCCGAGTTGTTGAATTCTACGTTCGCATCTTGTTTTGGCGAAGTTCAGGTTAGAAATGTACTGCGGCAGATCACGTGACATCATCTGGTCTGCTTTTCTGGCCGGCTTCGAATTGACCAATGAGGTCTCGCTCTTCTTCCTCTTGTAGCCTTTCTTCTGGTTCTCCTCTTTAACTATCTGCAACATGGTCGCCTGGTTGATCTCATTCACTATCCGGTCCAGTTTGAACTGAAGACGCTCAAGGTCATCTATCGAGTTCAACTCTAAACAAAGATTTTAAAAAAAGGCCTCCCTTTCAAGAAAAGAGGGCGATTGTTAAGTAGATTAAGTTGTCGAATTTTTGACCAATTGAGTTATGACTGGGGTGTATAACTCATAGAGTAATTTCGGATAGGGTACACCGTCTGCTCGTCACGCTATCTTATTTTCGGCCGGATAGATTCGTGCAACTTCTTAGTCTAATACCGATCCTAATCTTACTCTTATACTATCTAGTCTCAGGTTGTTTAACTAGTCTCTGCTAGGCTCAATAGATCTAGGGTATACTGGTTTATTGCGGTTGCTGAAGTGCTCGGGAGAGTCCAACTAATTTCTAAGTTAAATTCAAATCTCTCTGGTGCTGAAATTACAAGTAACTTCAGCACTTACAAATAAGTGGTTTGTTAGTTAGATGGATCATGATTGGTTAATATTAAATACTTTACATTGGTAAAATATCTAAATTATCCAATCATAAAATGTAGTTTAGATCAGGTTCCACCCATCCGGGTTTTACAGAGTTTTTTAGAATAGTTTTTCTGCAATTCGAAGGATGGATGATGGACGTTGGTGTTTGGCGAACATCTTATTTCTTCTGTTTCCTTTTTGTTAAAGAAGTTCCAGGAAGCTGGAGTTAGAGACATAAGACTTTGAGTCTTCTAGTGACAACGACTAAGTCTTTGCAACAAACTCAAATCTGATTTCAGAATGGTTTGCTATGTCAGGTTTTTCTGTTCTGCGTGGAGAACTTCCTTTGTGTCTGATCTAGTTTGGGAATGGCGTGGAGATTGTGCGTGGAGGGGATGCCTGGTTACTCGGATCTGTACGTATACTTGAACATCGAGGTGGTCATTGGTCTAGTTCAATGAAGTCCTTTTCTGCGAAGTCAAGTCGTACTCTAAATCCTTTGAGTTGTGATTGTGAGTGGCATATCGATTGTGGTTGGTCATTCTCTCTCGAGTGTAGTGGGGTTGTTCTGTCTTTAGATGTTCGTCCTTGGTGTTGTATTCTGATCTATGTATTGCATAATGTAATTTACATTTTATAAAACATTTATTAGTTTAATATTTTTTTATTATGATTTTAGTTAGTTGTTTTCACAAAAGCTTTTTGTTTTAGTTCGGTTATTTTGAAGAGTTACTCACACTTGAGTAGCTCTTATTAAAAATAGAGGTGTGGTCACAAAGCGTGGGTGTAGCACGGTGGGTTAGGCCGGCTATAGAGCATGCTCAGGACGTCCTTCCTGGTGGGTTAGGCCAGGAGTGGGAGTATGATTTCATGCGGTTTTTGTGAGGGGTCCTGTTATGTGACAACGTTTTATGTTGGGTTTGTTGTGGTTTTTCTTATGTCTTGTTGGTTATATCCTTTTTCCAAAAATCAAATTGTTTTTGGTATGGGTTTGTCTTTCGACTTTTTTGTGTTTTATTATTTCTTTCTTAGACTTTATAATAGTCTTCAAAAGAATAAATTATCCAGTTTTAAACTGGGTTAATCCGGTTTGGGTACCGTTGGTTTCCTTTTCTTAGTCATGCTGTTATTCTATGATTTGTGGTATTTAGTAAGCTGCGTTGGTTAGTTTTGTTTAGTATATGATTCCTTTCCAACCGGGTTAAAGGAAAGTTTGAAACATGTTATTATATGTTAGAGTTGTTGAGTGTGAAAACTTGAAACTAAAATTCATTATTTTAAACAATTCTTCGTGGGCGAGCTGTGCGAGTGTGGATAGAATTTCTGTGCGAATGAATGAAAATATCAAAAGGTTAGTACTGCAATTGCATTTTATTAATTTACTGCATAGAATTTGGAAATTTACTGCTAGTTATGGGGGAATTTTAAGTTACAAATTTTCATCATAATTAGATTTACTGCTTGTGGGAAAAATTTTAGAAATGAATTTACTGCATTGGTATTAAATTTATAAATTTATAAGTGTAAGAGATTAATAGAATTTTTGAAATTTGTTTGATGAAATTTGCGATTTTTATTTGTCTTTTGTGGTTTTGTAGGTAGTTGTCGGATGAAGGCTAAAAATCTAAAGAAAACATGGATAAAGAATGGTGAGTTTTTAATAATTTAATTAGTTAGTAATATTCATTTAATTCATACTTACCTGTTAGTCGTCGGGGAAAAAACCGTGGGGGAAGATGTCGTGAATTAGTTCTGAAGTTGTTAGTAGTTTAGCTAAGATGCGGATGATATTTTTAGTCTGAAGCAGTGGCCAAAGCAATTGAAGTGCCTTGATAGTGGTTAGTTCTTCAGTGCCAACTGCAAACTCATAAGGTGTGTTTTGGATTAGATTATATAATTTGTGATTTAATTTAGTGTTGTGGATGAATTCTAAAATTGGGATTTCTATGGGTTGTACAAACTCGTGCGGGATAAGGAAGGGTCGGGATTCTTCGGAATTGAAGGTCTTGGTGATGGGACAGAAGATGTACATTTGGGTTATGGGATCATAATTGCAAAGAATACCATGAAGGTTAGTGTCTTTAATACAATATGTGAAATTTAGGAAAAATGGTGAAGTGTATTTGGAATTAATGAATTGAAAACGATGGTGTGGTTGTCTAGAGGGTGTGTGTAGGTCAAAGTGATTTTGGATGAAGCGATAATAACTATATGTGTGGGTTTGTTTAGTGCGCAACATAATATCGTGTGAGCAGTGTAAATCTCTTTCGTGTGGTGCAAGGAAATGAAAGGTTAGTGAAAATATTTGGAAGCGTTCTTTAAAACTTTCGTATGCTTGTGTGTCTGTTAGTGCTTCTGAAATAATGTGATCAAACTTTCGGTCGAAGATGTTTAGTGTAAATAGATATGGTGTCTTGATGAAAAATTTCTCGGTAATTTGTGGATTAGCGAAGCGATCGTCGTCTAAGAATTGATCTTGGTTAGCTCTGATGATGTTGTGATCATAGTATTCGAGTGTATATTCGTTAGCTCTAGGTGCAGTGTGTGTTTTTAGTGATTTTTTATATCCAACGTAAGTAAATTGTCTAGCGGTTAGTGGTGTAGTGAGTCGATATAGCATGTCCGTATTTCGCTCTATATCGATGTGAGTGTTAGATAAAGGTAAGCAAAGAGGGTTAGTGAAATGATAATATGAGGTCCAAGAGAGAGTGGGCATTAAAACGTATTCATCTACAAAGTTGCGCGTTTCGTTAGTGTCGTGGGGGGTGTTTAAGGTGTATTGTGGGAATGAGGGTAAGGTGATGGCTAAAAATTCTTTTGTGTTAGTATGCTTGGGGTGGTTGATGTATTCACGGGCTGTTCCTGGTTTTGCTGGGAAAGGATGGTTGGGGAACTTTCTTTTAAAAGTGCGGTAAGCTCTATTAGTGTTGAGTGAAGATTCAGTTGATGTGGATGATGGTGCTAATGATTCAGTATAGTCTGAAGAGGGTGTAGGGGGGTTGGATGAATTTATTGTGGAGGAGATTTGGTTTATGGTTGGGGTATTAAGGTGGTAGGGTTGTTGTTGAAGGGTAATAAAATTATCTAGCTCTGGGGAGATTCGGGGGGTGTCTGGTGAATGAGATGATTGGTCAGAATGGTATGAGGAGTAGGTTGGAGTAACTTGGGAAGCATGAGAGGGTGTGGGGGTAATGGGGTCAGGGTTATTGGATAATATGGGTTGAAAAGGGGGTTGAGAAAAATTAGAAGAGTTATGAAAATTATTGGATGGGGATGGTTCTGAGTCGGCAAATTCATCGGGGGTTTCAATATTCGGGTTATTGAGTTGTGAGATGGAATATAAAACTGAGATGTGTGAATTAGTGTCGGAATTCATGCCTGATGTTACATTACTAGATGGAAAATCGGGTGGCGGAAAAGCAAAAAGTGGTATTATTGGGATTGGAGAAGTAAGATTGGTTGGATGGGAAATTGATCGGTGTAGTGATCCAAGTTGGCGGCTCATCGTGGGCTAAAAAAATGATTATTTTGAGACTGAAAAGCGGTGGTATGGGGTTGTTCAATAATTTGTTCATAAGTATTATCATCTTGTGACTGGTGTGTCATTATATGTTGAATGGGATTTTGTGATGCGGTGAGTCGAAAATTTGGATTATGTGTGATGGCTAAATTTCGAAAATTTTGTGGGACTAGGGATAGTGGATGGTTATTTGGTAGGGGTGGTAATTGTGGTGCCGTTGGCGTTATGTCTATATTGTTATGTTCTTCGTCGTATGTATTTTGTCGTGTTGTTATTTTTGTGTTATATTCTTTTATTTGTGCGTCTAAAAGAATTTTGTTTATAGATGTAGAAAAGATTCCAAAAAATCCTGCAAAAAGTATGCGTGCTACGCTTGCTTGTCTGTTTACTTGTGTGTGTATAGCACATGTGTTGTAGATTCCTTTTAAAAGTGAGAAAAGAAATCCAATAAAGTTAAACATTGCGTATAAAATAGTCAATTTTTCTAAGATGTAGTAGGGCCATCCTAGAAAATCGAGGATCTCATTTTTGAGTGTAACAAAGCTAAAAATGTTAATTGGTGATATATCTTGGGGACGGTATTTTTCACCGTTTAGATATATATAGTCTTTAATGTCTTTAAAATATCCGCTATAGTCTTGCGTGTAGATATCGGCAAATCCTGCGGTTTCTGCAAGTTTGCGTAAATTTTGGTCTATTGATTGTCTTTGTATAGTGTCCATTTGTGTTAACAATTCTTGGAACTGTTGTGTTCTAATGTGATGTTGAATATCTGATTTTGAATAGATTCCTATTGATTGTAAGTCTATATTTGGGTTTCGAGCAATAGCGCGAATGCTTTCTGGTGAAAATTTTTTGAGTGATTGCATTAATGTGGGATATGGAGTGAGAAGATAATATTTATTTTCATCAGGGTTTAGTTGTACTACATTGTGGCTGTTTTCTGATCCACATGGGACTGCGGTATCCCAGAAATAGGTTCTTCGTGAAAGTGTATCCACGAAATGTACTTTATTCTTATAAAAGATAGGGATTCTTTTATAACATCGTTTATCTTCAAAAACGTAAAGTGGTGAT